GAAAATATAGAAAATAAGTCACATGAAATAACTAGTTTAATATTCTAATAAAAGAGTTGTAAATTAATATCTATGGGAAAAGAAAATATACACGTATTTTATTCACATACACTCACGTATGATAGTATGTGAATATGTGAAAGTACAAGTGAATAGGTAGTGAGAACATAGATATAATATATGAAAGTGTGTATGTATATAAGTGTAAATATTTAGACAATAATAAAAAAAATCCAAGATTTTTTTAATTGATGCTCTTCTTGACGACGCTTACAATCTAAAGTGAATATTGATAAAGCTTCATTAGCATGTAATTGACAAATTATTATAAAATCAACTTACATGTGTTGAACTAATTTTATAAAGTTAAATTAAATTTTATAAAGTTTAGCGTTTGAAGCTGAAGCATATTAAATAAAAATTGCATAGAAATTAGTTAATATTATATGGAAAATATGATGTAATATGATGTATATTTGACCATATAATATGATGTATATTTGACCAAGTCTTTTGCAAATATTTATTTTAATAACATATATTTTGTTTCGTGTTATCACATATATTTTGCAAGTATAAGCATATTTTTTGCTCCAATAAAATATATCTTGTTATTTATATCTCTAAAAATTTTATTTTAAAACATGTCTCGAAATATTATAACATATTTCTTAAGAAATTTAGCATTTTAGAATTTTCACAATTATGTTACAGAACAGATTGTTATGTTTTATTAGATATCATAATTTTCATTTTATACACTTCACATGGTTTATATATATCCATAAGGATTATTATATTAATATAGAAGAAAGAATATTATATTTTTTCGAAGCTGGTGATGAGCAAATTCAATAAATAGTCGCCTAGAGTCTACTGAAATCTTATTGAAAGATATATTTTAGGAAACACGTAGTCGACAATCAGAATGTTATTATGTCATACAGAGATGACTAAACTTCATTTTTTGGTCATAGTAATACAAAAATACCGTCTATATTATCGCGTAAGAACGTCGTGAGATATATATATATATTTATGCATATGAAATTATTACATTTATGAAATTTAAGTACTTGCAACTAGTTTTTCAAAAAAGTGACAAGTAGTATTGAATATAATAAAAATATAATCGCGGTAACAATATGAATTATTATAATTGATAGTGAAGTAGCGACTTACAACTATAACTACATTATATAGACTTCATACTAATAGAATATGACATTACATTTACATTTTTCCAGTTTAGGCAAATATTTTTGTCTGCAAAGCAGACAATGTAACGTCACAATATCATTGAGATAAAAGTTTAAACAATATATATAACAATACATTAATTTATTTAACAATTTACTAAAAATGATTAATACTATATTTTCTTGGTTCATATATTTGATTGTTCTTATCACAAGTTTATTATATATAGTTGAGGCGCTATTGTGTACAAATTTCTAATTGCGACTTTTACGATTTTTTTTTGAATGGTTAAAATCTAGCTTTTTGGAAATTTGTTTTAAATTTGAATAACTTTACTATGCATTATATGGGAATACATTACTACAAAATATTTCAAGCTTGACGAAATCCGAGAAGACCATCTATAATATTCTTTTTATAAATGCTCTTTATTGACAGTCTTTGAATATGGCAATTGATGAAAGTTTCATCTTTCTCGCCATTAACTTGATAATGTCATTTATATCCATAAGAAATTTTTATACGGAAATTATCTATTTTTTGAAGAAATTTGTACATTTCAATTATAGGACAGAAAAAAAAATAAAGAAGTTTTTCTTATTTAGTTTTCGAACTAAAACTCGTATTAAGAATTTAATTGATCCACTTGTTTCTGAGATATGATAATCTGACAACTGGTCAGCTCGCACGAAGATACATAGTCTGATCTCATGCGTGCATGAGACATGCACGTTCATTTCCAGGCTCCAGATACTATCTGTATCTCTTGATTGTTTAATTGTTAAAGTCGGTGAATATTATAGATCAAAAGTGAAGTAATAATAATATATAATTAAGATGTTTAATTTATTTAAATAAAGACTTCGACCGCAATCGAAATTTTTTTCATTTTATTAGTATTCATGAACTCTTATCAGAATATGGTTTTTTTATAACATTTTTTAAATTCGGATAGAATTCTTGAATCAAATATCAAGTTTTTAATTCATTTTATTCATAAGTCAAATTTTTCCAAAAATTAATTGTATATTGTATTTTTATTGACAAAATATGATATAACGAATGAAAAGAGGAGGTTAGTGAATAGCGAATATAATTTTTGTTTAATTTCGATCTATCAAATTAAATTCTTTAATTTCTAATTGTATTAATAGAATATATGTAAAATTTTGTTAATTGTTAATCTTATGAATAATTAATGACCTAAATAATGAACAAATATACACATTGGAGCCTTACTGAAATCGAAATTATCTATGTTTTTCAATTTTAGATGTATCAGCACTAATGGTGAATTTGCTATTCTGATACTCGCCAGAATTTGGAAAAAATTTCGCAACGGAGAGGTATGTGTAATTTATAATATAACATTGTGTAACAAAAAAATTTTTTTCACAAAAAGATCGATATAGTCATAGAAGTAGAGACAAAATGTAGGATAGAAGTTTCTGATGATGATTAATGGTTTTCGTTCTGACCAATTACTTATGTTTCGTATGCATATTTGAAGTTTAAAGGAGATTTCGGTCGTAATACAAGATGAAATGTTATCATTGAAAATCATGTTAAATTGACTGCTGAATCCAAAAATGATAAAATTAATGCGATTGGAGTATAGCAAAATGATAAGAAACATATCTTCCATAAAAAGTTTAATAAAAGCTTAAATTTTTTCCTTTCTATTTCTCTTTGTGAATGTTAATGAAAAAAATGTGATTTTCAAAATATTGCCTAAGTATTACTATTTTAGAAGTTCAAGTAAATCGCATATTTAATAAAAATTATTATAATTCAGGCACTGCATTTTCTTTTTATTTTTAAGTCTTACTTTATTTGTTTTGTTTTTGTTTTACATATTGAATATAAATTAAGCATTCTACGAGATGTAAAATTTTTATTAAAATGTTAATGTGCATTCATGGCATGGTTTATTCACGTAGAAAAGTCTAAAAAAGGGTGAAATTTAAGCAATTTTTCGAATGAAAATATATATTTTTTTCATCATCTTGCTGATGCTGATGCTCTGCTTTCTATACTTTAATTTTATTATTATTATTTATTTTGGATTCAGCAATTAATTTTACATAAAAATGCAAGTTTTTCGGACAATCGCAAAAATTTTATCTTGTATGTGATCTCCTTTGAACTTCAAATGTACATAAAAAACGTAATAACAATCTCGCAGAATGGAACGCACTTTTATGCTAGAAATTCGTCCCGCATGAACAACATGTCTAATTTTTTTATGTCGTAGTAAAATTATTTCTTGTATTGTTACACAGTATAATCATATATTGTT